TCGCAGCGTCCGATCACACCTGCAAAGCAGCGCCTTGGTCCGCAGGGGAGCTGTCTAGACTAGGTGGAAGACAGAGGCGAGGCTAGTCCTGGAGCTGGGAACATATGGTGTGAGACCAGGGACTGGGGCGCAGGCGCATCCCCGAGAGGATTCAGTCCCCACAGCTCTGACCTGAGCGCCACTTCCCAGCCTGGCTGGAGACACACAGGTGCTGTTTCCTGGGTAAACACCCACTTCAGGACCAAACTTCTGGGTACTTGGGGCCCCAGGAAACTGGGCTGAGGAAAGAAAGGAAGACTAGCAAGTGACCTCAGACACGCTGGCAGACATGGAGCAGGGTGGAGAGGAGAGGGCCTGACATTCAGGTAAATGGCACGGGACGCCCCAGCGGCAGGCCGGAAGCTCGCCCCCGTGTCGGCTGCCTTGAGCACTGAGACTGCGCCGGGATGTGCAGCATCGGCTGCAGGGACCCAGCTGGCGGTTTATGAGCGGGGAGAGAGTCTCAGTATTCCTGCAGAGCCCCAACCCTTAGACTCTGCATCTCTAACCCACTGGCACCAACCTCCCTACTGCCACGTGAAGCTGGCACCTTGGGCAGTCTGGTGACAAGGGGCCGATGAGAGAGAGAGAATCCGTCGCCTCTTAGCCCAGGTGACAGGCTCCTCTGCCCCAAACATCCTGGGCTGGTCCTTGTTTTCCTTCCCCCCCCCCAAGGCCCCTCTACTTCCAGAGGCCTGTGTTCTAACGGAGCCTGAAGAAGCTGTCCCCAGGTCTGGGCCTCTCGCGGGCATTGCCAGCCTCAGAGCAGCTCCGCCGTTTCCAGCCCTGACAGGGACTCTTTCTTAGAAGTGGTCATGTGTCAGGGGTTCGGGACGTCAAAAGAGGCCCACCCCCTGACACGCGGGGACCGGCACAGGGGGCAGGGACGGGGGTTAGGCAGCAGCTCCTGCACCTCCATCTTCTGGAGAGAATCTGCAGTCACCCGTGCCCTTCCCCCACCCCAGCTCAGGGCGCTGGACCAAGCCTTCCACTTCTTCACGTCTCCAACGAAAACAAAACGCACGTCGCCCCACTTCCTCTTTCCTCTCACCGGAGCACACACACACACACACTCCCAGCCAGCCACGCACACGCACGCTCACACCCCCAGCGAACGCACCCCTCGCATTCCCAAACTCACACCCAGGGCCGGCTCCTTGTACAGCAGGTCCCGGCCGCTCGGGTCTCAAACCGGCTCTGTGCCGGCTCTGCGCCGGCTCTGCGCTCTCGGTTCTGTGCTCTCGGCTCTGTGCTCTGGGATTCCTGAAGGGCTCGGAAAACAAACCTCACGGTGCCTTTCTCCTTCGCCTGCTGTAATTCTGGCCTCAGTGTCTGGTCCCCGCTGTCCTCCCGCCCTGCAGAGGCTTCAGGAGCTGAGCCGTAAGGGGTGGAAAACGGACACGTTTCTGTATCCCCGGCCTCAGCTTCTCTACCCCCCCACATGTCACTGAGAGAAGAGGTCAAAGGATTCCTGAGGAATTTCTAAGCAGTCCACCCGCCTTCTCCACCCTTCTGGAAAAGTAGGGGGGTGGGGGCGAGCTTAGAGGGAACTGATTAAAGATTGGGCTCTCTGTCTCTGTCTCTCTGTCTCTCTGCCTCTTCCCCCCCCCCCATGTGGCCTGGATGAGGCACAGGCAGGGGCCGGCTACCCCTGGGGCCACCCTCACCCGCGGACACGGTTATGGTTTTCATTTCATATTTTGGAGGGAGGGGCTAGGAGGAACAGTCCCCTCACTGTAAGAGCCAGCCACAGGAGCTGAGGGAAGCAGGGAGGAGAGGAAACAGCCACATTAAAGAGGAAGAGAGGGGTGGGGGAGAGAAAGAGACACAGAGACCCAGACAGAGACCCAGAGAGACGCGCCGAGACACAGAGACACTGTGTGCTATCAGACGAGCGCTCACGGCCCCAGGGACAATGTTCCTTGGAAACGGAACACGCAGCTTTATCAAAACTCAATCCTGAACGAGGAGAGAAAACTTCCAGGTAAACTCCACGCCAGGCTGGCCCTCCTGGAGCAGCCACCCTGGGGACAATTTCCCCGGAGGCTAAGGGACCTTTTCATTCACCTGTAACCGGAGATCTATGGGAGGATTAGGTCTTTTTAACCACTGCTGGTTCCTCCCACTCCCCCCCTCTCCCCCCCAAAAAAGAAAGCAAAGCAAATTAATGCTTTTAAGTGAACAATTATCCTGGTTATCCAGTCTGTCTGCTTTAAGGTACACAGACAAGCACTGAAAACACGGGAACCTTGTACCCTCCTGCTCACTCCTCCAGTTGGCTTACCCGCCCACTTGTCCACACAGGGTCCTGACACTAAAATCTCAGGGTTCACCTAGACACAGACACCCAGCAGTGTCACATCACACACACACACTCACATACACACGCACGTTCACTCACCTTTACACGGAGGGCCCACTGTCTTGCCCCCTTCCCAGACTGACAAGACATTGGTTTTCCTGCTGTGGGAATCTCTGGTGAAAAGCGACAGAGACCCAGATAATGTCGTTGGAAGTATTCTAAGTCCAGATGCTTGCCAGGCTATGTTAAAGACCTGCTAGAGCTACATTTAAAAGCATTTTAAGAGCTACCCAGAACCAGCAGATGGCGTAATGGTTACGTTGCTGGACTTCCATGTAGTCGACCACGGTTCAAGTCCCAGACTTGGAGGCTTGAAATTTATGTCAAGCACATGTACATGCATGCCCAAAATCCAGAGAAGAGAATGGAGAAGGAACTGTGGCATGGCCATCCCTCTGGGGCGTGATTTCTTGCTTTCTGTCTCTCTGTCTCTCTCTGTCTCTCCGGCCAGGACCCATGCCCTGTAGCAAAAATCTCAATCAATCAATAAATAAATGAAAGCATGTCGCATTCAAGGCCCACTTTCTAGCACTAGTGACCCCCAGAAGATGTGTTTCGGGGCAAGGGGGCCTCCCAGATGCCACAGCACTCTGTCTATGGGGACAGCCATACAGCTGTCCTGCCTGTCCGGAGACGACTCTCTAACCCAGCAAATCCGAGGCTGACATCCCCTGGCAGGCAAGGTTTACTGATTTCCCACTGCAGGGTCAATGAAAGGCTCCCACTCTATGCCAAGATAGACTCAGGGGTCCGAGGAAGGAAGATGCCAAGCCAACTGCAGCCTGGGCAGAGCAAGCGTGGCCCAGGAAGGCCAGGAGTGGTTGGAACAACTGGTCTGCAAGTTCCCTGAGGACAGGGGCCTCCACTGCACCACCACTGCATCGCCCCTGCACCCAGCAGGGTTTCGAAGAAAGAGGGGACCTAGCCCCTTCTGGCCCTGAATGATCAGCTCATCTCCCAGGCTCGAGAGTCCTCGTATGACAACACCTGTCCCTTTTAGGGGTCTCCATCTGCCCCTGGAGCCCCCTTGGGTACACCGCTTCGCCCTTTGGCCCCAGCCCCCCAGGCTCGCCAGGTCACTGTAGACACTGACTCCAGCTTGAAAGCAGTCCTTATCTTGTGTCCAGATTACTGCGCGGAGTCTGCTCCTTCCTTCAGACTAAACTCCCTAGCTAATTCTAGGTTATGAGTAAGTGAGCACCACTACAAAAGCCAGCTTTGTTTATGAAGACACAGCCAATCCACAGTGAGGAGAGGGGCTGCTCCCGGGCCGGGTGGCAGTAGCGGTAGGCTGTCTGGAACCGGGACTGGAGAAGAGGCCGTTCGGGGTGGGTCTGTATTTGACAGCCTAGGGTCTCCAGGGTTTTGATTCGATGAAAGGATAGGTTGAAGTGGGAAGGGGGTGAGTGGTCAGGCAGTGTTTTGGGAGGCGGGCGGCACCGATGCAGCACCTTCCTTTCCACCGAGTGGGGCCACTCCGTACACAGGGCAGCTGCAGAGCCAAGCGCTCAGGCTCTGGACTCTGCCACCTAACTGCCAGACACTCGGCCTTCCCCAACACCCAAGTTCAACTTTCCTGGGCGCCCAGCTGCCTCCGGACCCAGCTGGCTTCAGGAGCCCCAAGACAATGGGCAGAATCATATCCTCCAGAGCAAAACCTTGCCGGGAGGAACTTGCTTTTTGTCCATATAAATCTCTTGTCTGAGAGGACACTGTGGGGGGAGGGGTGCGGCAAGAGGTCAAAGGGGAGGGGACGCTGCCCCAAGAGAACTGTGGCACACCAGCCTGGTTTCTGCCAGCACAACCTTGGGACGGGCGGGAGGGCTTCCTGTCTCTCTCTTTAATTCCTAGAGGGATCTGTCAGAGCTCCCCAGCCTGGAATTCTACTTTGTTATTTTAATGCAATTCTGACCTGGATTTAAATGGAATTGGAAACCAGAGGCCTTAATAAATAAATATTATGATAAGAAATGAAAGCCATGCAAGACGAAAGAGATTTCGCCCCAAAGAGACAGAAACGCAACATTCTTGCCGCCAGCCAGTCTCAGAAATGTCCTTCTCTTGTCCGGTCCCCTACCCTCTGGTGAGGCAGGAGTTGGCCTTTCCGTAACAGAGCCTTTCTCTTTACCATGTTCTCACCGATAGGACAGCCTTTTCGGAATGTCTGGCTAACTGTGCACGCGGGCTGGGATGAGGGGAGAAATACATGGCATGGCTGAAAAGTTTTCATCCCCTCCGTCTCTCCAGGCCCCACCTTCAGTTTCTGGCAACGTTGAGAGAGGAGAAAATTCTCAGACTTCGGAGCACAAGAAGCCTTTCGAAGATGCTGGGGGGGTGGCAGTGAACTCTGGCAGGAAGTGGTCCCTTCCGCCCACCGCCCTCCAAAACTTTGCACTCATCCCTGCTGCCTCTGGCTGCTCCGGCTTCTCGCCCGGGCGCAGCGCCCAGAGGTCGGGCCCCCAGCCCCGGAGTCCGAGTGCACAGGGCCGTGTCCTGACAGCAGCACGCTTCCCCAGCACCTGCCCGGCCCCTCGGAGATGGCGCCCCGACCCTTGGGCCTCGCAGCCCCGGCAGCCCGGGCAGCCCCGGGGCGCCTTACCTTGCGCAGCTCTGCCGTGCTGGGCGGCGCGGGCGTGGACCAGAAGGACGAGCAAGCAGAGCCCAGGCACGCGCCCCGAGCCCATGGCTGGAGCTCCGGGAGGCTGGTTCGCCGGGGCCGGTCTCGCAGCCCGGGGAGGACGGAGGCCAGCCGGGGCCCCCGCGCGCGGGGGCGAGGGGAGGGAGGGCCCGCGG